GCGTTAACATTTGATCCAGCCTGCCCACGGCTTTTTTTTCAAATGAACTCATTGCTGTGGCTGCGCTTCCTCTCATCGTGCACAGCTGTGTTTTGTCAGCTCGTGCACAGAGGCTCCTTCCCCTCTCTCTCTCTCCCTGCCCTGTGTGACGCTGACATCCTCAATTCACTGGGGATCGCTGATGAGAGAGGGGAAGGAGCCCTCTCTCTCTCTTCAGCATTTACTACAAATGGGAAAGTCCATATATAGTAAATAGTGTTAGAGGGGGGAAGGAGCTGGCACACGGGGACATGCAGGTAAGGAGAGAGCTGCTGCGCATGTCCATATATTCGTGGAGCAGCTCTCAAGAATCAATGTCAGTCATCAGTGGGGAGGATCCCGTCAGATATGTCGGGATGTCTTCTCATTGCGGCGCTTAGCCCCGCCCACCACCTAAAATAAGGTTTTACAGCCTTACTGTGCATTTTGGCTAATTAGAGTAAATTACATTATTTACTTATTTAGCCTAAGGAATGCATTCATAAAAAAAGATAGAACCCCATAGTTCTCCTTTAAAAATAGACTAAACACAGAACATGGGGGTTGCCATTGCTGGCCTCTTTGAAGACATGCATGCAGTAAATAAATCAGAATCCTCTCTTTATACTTCATCTGGGTCATAGACTCAGAAAGTCCTAAAGCTGCAGCATGACAGCCAGGTAATTATCATTTTTGGGACAGTCAGCAATGGCAGCCTCTACACTTTTCTCTGCACAGGCTTCCTTTACACTCTGAGATGCTCAAATAAAAAAAGAAGTTACAGATGTGCTAAAAAGTCTCAAAGACATAAGGAGACATACTGTCAATCGGCTTGTAACTTGCAGACAATGATAATCCAGTGGAAATCTGCTGGTATGAGATGGGGATAGTTTGAGCAACTAGCTACAAACTTGCTGGGAACAGCAAACAAGAGTGGCAAAGTGCACAAATCTTGTGCAATACAATGAATCTAAAAATGTGAACAATTGCACTCACAAATAATATGGTAACTACAACACTTATTTGTAGCCGACATGTAACATATGTCTGGTGAGTAGGAGCCAGCCCGCTCACGATGGCTGTTGGTGGGGCTTTTAGCTTGAGCTGTCAGAGATGCCGGTGTATGCAAGAAAAAGCAGGACCCAAAAGATAGCTGGAGATGCACAGCGTCCCACTGCTCAAAAGGAGCAAGGGACCTCCCACATTAAAGCATCTGTTACTATCCCTCAGACTTGACAAAGAGTAACAAGTTTAGAGTGCTCAATTTCTATCCATAATGGCATGGTACATAAAGGATTTATTAGGGCTTGTTCACACGATTTTCTGGCCCAGATCTGGAGACGTGGTGCTATGCATGCAGTGCGTTTTTGACTCGTTTTTGATGTGTTTTTGATGTGTTCCAGTTATAAAAAAATATATATATATATAGTTTTTTTTTTTTGGTTGGTGTGGGGCTGTCAGTACGCGTTTTGACGTGTTCTTGCATTTCCGGACTGTTTCTGGACCGGACAAAATGTGACATGCAGTATTTTTTCTGTCCGGAACGGACTGCGCTCGTGAGAACCGTAGCCCATAAAACACATAGGGATACATTGGGATGCATTTTGGGTGTATGAGCGCACGGATCTGGTGAACAAGCCCTTAATGCTGTGGACATAAAATGCATGATAAGAATAAATCTGCTAAGGGGAATGCAAATAAAAAGCTGTGCAAAATACAAACATTACATAAAAACAATGAATAATAAAAATCCATAAAAAGACCTCAGTCACACAGACGTACACTGCTGAACAACGTGCACGTCCATGCAGAGACCTGTGCTCGGGAGGGACAGGTGCTGCGTGTAACCGCTTGCAGCTGCCTGTACATCTCTATGAGAGGACATGGCTGCATGCCAACCCGAACTTGCAAATCTGTACAGGTATGGATGCCCTACCTTGGAGGCAGAGCTTCCCCCATACATTCACATCAACATCACCTCCATGATTCTGTTTTGGGTGGGTGCCCTAAGGTTGTATTTTTAGGTCATACCTTTTGTCACCCCTTCCTCTGCCAAGACCACAAGAACGGTGTCACTACTTCACAGCTGGATTCCCCAGCTACGTATTTTATGGAGAATCTGTTTATGACACCACCATTTGCCTTTGTAATAGCTAAGACCAGTTGGGTTCAATTAGAATATAAGTGCTGAACTAGGTATATATGACACTGCTGGAGTCCCCACAGCTATAATAACCTACCATGGGATTTAGCATGTCAGAAACAATGAAGAACATTGATTGGCAGAGTTGGCCTTTCGTTTGTGGTGGCCATGTGTTTGGACCGAGAGGCTTTTTGTAGGCACTTATCCCGATGGCAGGCCTTAGTCATGTCCTGCATTCCATCATCCTATATTTACACAGCGTGATTTGCTGAGACAGTCTATTAGAAGGAGCAGAATGGATGTTTGTGTGTTTGCTTCGGGAACTGTTTACTGGATGAATCTGAAGAACATCCCTAATGACTGCATGACTGGTTTGTTTGTAATAGTGGACACGCTCTGGGAATCAGCGAAAGACGGAATTGTGAAATGATCCAGTGTGGTGCTCCATGCTCGGGTCCATATTTAGCTAAGACGCTGCCTCGCACTAAAGATGACGCAGTGCAGAAAGATGCCGAATTCCCTCCATTTACATTTGGAAATCTGTTGTAAAGAGAGCCGAGCTGATTATAGAATGTGTGTTCCTGGTCTCTACCACTGTATACATGGCTTTGTTTTTGTTTTTCTGCTCATTAGAGTTAATGTAGCTGCCTTGTTTAAGTAAACGCAGCCTCTCTAACTTCCTACACTGGCTTTTAGTCAAACACTAATCAGTTTCCCATAAGCCGGAGAGCGATATGGAGTAAACAAGACTGTGGAGAGTAGGCCAAAGCAAAGAGGTAAACACACGAGAACATATGAATCATCTCTACATTAAGCAGAGCAAAAAGTTAATACTGTACAATAGTGTCCACACAGCGAAACAAAAGGTTGAATTTATGGCTCTGCAGTGATCGCACAGCTCCAAACTGTCTCACTTTTTGGAGCCAAATCCTTCTGTCTCCATTTCCTCCATAACTGTCACTCTTTTATGTCCGATGTGCTATAAATACATCCACTTCTTAACTTGTCTATCTTGCTTTTCAATTTTATGTTCAGCTTCTAAATGATTATGTTGATTGTCTCATATAAAGGAAAACAGTTCTGGAAAACAGTCTTGAGTTTTTGTGCAGTTGGAAAAGTGCTTTTAAATGCCCAACACAAGAAAGCCCATGATTTTCAAAGGCCCTTGTTCACACCAGGAATACGCGTGAAAGGTACATGAGCTTCTTTGGGCAGTTAAAAGCGCGTTTTTGCACCATAGACTTCAATGGAAATGCCCAAAAACGCGCGGCAAAAGTATCTTGCACATTTTCGTGACCATTTTTTTGCACGTTTAAATGCGCGTTCTTCCATTCTACCGCAATGTTTCATAAGCTGCCAGTCAAAACACGCGTCTTCATGTATGCACGTAAAAATGCGAATCAAAATATGCACAATGCGCAAATAACGGCATGCTGCTCACGCGCGTGCAAAAATGGTGGTGTGAACCCGGCCTAACAACAACTGTTAGAAAAAGCTAAAACAAAATTAAAGTAAGAAACACGTACACACACATACGCATCAGGTGCGCCTATGTACGAAAAAAGTGATTGCTCCTCACGTTGGGTATCAAGGTGCACACCAGAGTGAGAGTAATAATTCTAGGGCCATTATTCACAGTTAGCTCTAAACTGATGACTTGTAAATGCTTTTAACATGTCGCCTATGGGCAATTGTGGGGACATTTGATAAGTTTGTCACCATTTCACCGGCCCATGCAATTTTTAGAGTTTCACATCTATTTACTTGATGCAACCTTAACTTTGAAATGTTATCAAACAATCAGAGATTATGTTGTGTTTGTGTAGACTAAAAGTAACTTGTCTATTTTTTCTGCTGAAACTTTGGGTTTGATAAACAGTTACGCTGATATTGTGGGACATAAACAATTGCAACTGCCAACATTTTATTCTGCAGGGTCTCTGCTTTCATGTAATATATAATTTGGGGTGGTCAGTAATCGTTAGGCCTAAAATGTGCATTTTAACATGTGTGCTAAAATTGAAAACATGGCTGTGGTACTGAAGTGGTTGAAATACATATATGTGCACTGTTTTTCCTGCCAAGTATCTGAGCTTCTGTTAGGCTAATCCTGTAATTCACACACTCCTACCACCTTGCATTATTTTAAGCGTATCTAAATAATGTAATTGTCTATCAGAGTGACCACCAGCTGTAGAACTCTATGCACACGATTGTTTCTGGACCATATTACAGTGACAAACAACATATAATGGGCACATATGTGGTATTGTCGTGAATGTATTGTATCATTTTGGGAGGGAGGGGGTTGGTGCTGGGTCAGGATAATGGCAAGAAATATTCTGCTAAATCTTTTCAGAAAATGTTTTATTAGGCCCAGTTTTCCTTTGATAATAAACAAAAATCTGGAGCTCTCCATTAACATTTACCACCAAATGTCTTGGGGAAAACACAAGGTATAAATGACCTGGATATACTAAGTATCTGCAAAGATGGGAGCAGTTTTACTAACACATGCCAAAGTTTAAGGGCCAGTTCACACCATATGCTTTGCTATGGTCTTTCTTGTGCTTAATTCACACTGCAATGGTGTGAATAAAGCACAAGAAAGCCCATAGCAAAGCATTGTGATGTATTTTGACTGCAGCAGTCAAATAAACGGACTGTATCACAACTGCATATGGTGTGAACTGGCCCTAGAAACGGGTTCAGACGTTAGTCTTTGTTTTTTTTCCCTTCATCATTAAAGGGTTAAGGACTTTATAACTGGACTGAAGGTTTGTTACATAAACAAGGCTCTTATTGATTACCCCTATTCTATGTGCTGTCCTTTGTGCAGGGTTTGCATTCTCTACTGTCAATCCTCCGATGGCATTGGACCTGACGTTGGGTGTCTTATGTGAACTTCTGCAGCAGTGGGATGAAGTCTCAGCCGGTGTCCCTGTCCTCCTTGAGTGGTTATTAGGAGAAGATGACCTCAGCGATCTGGAAACTGCGAATGCGGTAATAGGACTAACAATACTCTTTATCTTCCATTTCTCTTCAGCACACTAGATGTTATGTTATTACACTATCTGGAGAAAGGAGATTGTGGGGGGAGGGGGGGGGCTAAGGAATAGATTTTTCTATTTTCTAGCAAGTTCAATGCCACATTGCAAGTGAATATGAAATAATTTATGGTTAGGAAAAACACTGCAAGCAGGCGTTGAAAATACTTGATTTTTCTGTAATTTTACCTCTTCAAGCCTGGAGTCCATCATGCTTGTCACATCTAATATGTGCATTGTTCACACAAGCTTTAGCTTATAGAAGATCATTGTGTACAGCTTTGTAAAGCTTGCAGCAGCTTTATTGGGGGGAACACAGATCTTATGTCTCAAAATGTGGACTGGCACTTTAAACAAGTTGCTAAAAAGCTTCAGAAGGCTTTGACACTACTTGAAGCAAAGTTGCTGGAAACTCACTGAAAGCTTAACAAATGCTTTGCAAAAGCTTGTTGTCCACACTGCTTGTGTACATTCTGAAGCCCATGTGAACAAGGCCTGTTAGATACACTGACCTGTCTGGCTGGTTTCATCCTATACCTATTGGCCTAGCAGAGAATGGCAGATTTCCCTGGCTGTCTGATAGGAACTGTCCTTCTGGAATCATTTTGGCCTCTCCTTCAAATATTAGCTGGTGCCATGGTTGTCTGGACGTGCTCCTGCCTCAACAATACACTTCCGGTTGTCCCAAGCATACATATGTTTTGGGCAGATTGTAAAATGAAAATCTTCATGTGGTCAGATTGTGGCTGCAGACAAGACCTGACGTGCTGCAAGGCAGTAGAGAAGCCATAATCCAAAGCCTGACGTAACCTGACACAAGAATGCTGTTTTCTCCACATGACCAATTAGCGGCACAGGTGTAAAACAGCAATGCAGTCATTTTATGAGAGGATATGGGAGGCGTGAATGGCGATATATAATAATTAAGTTGTATGCGTCGTTTATGCCACAGGGCTCAGTGGGCTTTCACAATTACAAAATTAAAGCAAATAACGCAAAGGAACGCAAACAGCATAGGTGTTTTAAGAGCCGTCGGGATTATCGTGAATTACCCAAGCGTCTGGCTAAACAGGAAAGGCTTTATACTTTCTGCTTTTTAATAATTTCCAAACTTCTTCTGTACCAGAGGCAGTATTATAGGAAAATAGAACTGATTTACAAGGGTGCTTTATTTAAATGTGCAGCCGAGCAAAGTATTGTGATTTACAGTAAGCAGAAATGTTGGCGGTGAGGGCCGCTCTTTGTAGAAAAATGTAAAAATTGGCTAAATAAAAAAAGGTTTGTGTTGGGGAGCTGGATGCCGTTATCTTTTTGTCAAGGAGAATACCACCTGTCTCACATTAACACATGTGTAAGGCCAACCTACAACAACCAATCTGAGATCAGGCTTCATAGTTTTGACTGCTGGATACCAATGAAAGGTGTCATCTGATTGGTTGCTTTGGGTAACTGCACTTTGTTCAGCACCACTGCACCATTTTCAGTGCCTGAGCTTATAACTAGGGATGTTCAGATACCAAGTACCGAACTCGATACAAGTACCGATACTTTTCCAGCTCCAGGACTAGACTAGAGAAAAATTCAAACGTTAGGAGGCAGCTGTCATTTTTAAGGAGTATATACATACACACACACACACACACACACATATGTACAAGTACTGATACATGTTTGTTTAGTGTCATGTGACAGTTTTTCTAAAACAATACAGACCAATGATTTCAGGACAGTGGTGGAGCGCCAGAGCCAGGTCCCACCTGCAACCGCTGCAACCTTGGTAGTTTGTGAAAATGCCAAGTATCTGCACTGGTATCTGGACATTCCTACTTATAACTGACATTACCGGCTGTATAGAACACCCAGGGGGGAATTTATCAAAACTGGAGCAGACAAAATCTGGAGCAGATTTGCACTGCAGCCAATCAGCTTTTATCTCTAATTTTCAAATCTCACCTGAGCAAACTGAAGAGAGATGCTGATTGGTTGCCATGGGCAACTGTTCCAGATTCTGTTTGCTCCAGTTTTGATAAATTCCCTCCTCAGAGTTCATGATTTAAAGCTGAACACACAGATGAAATACATATACGGGAGCTGTTTCACCTACCAGAGAATTTGTATTCCTGTCCACCCAGTCCTGTTATTTACACAGCTCTGTCACAGCATAGCCAGGCTGGTGACCTGACTTTTTTCTACTGCAGCTAAAGCCGTGCTGTCAGCAATCTATAAATGCAAATAAGAGATCCTTGTAAAAAAAAAAAAAAAGAATGTAAATACCTCTTATGCTTTTGCTGTTGTGACCAAAAATTGCCTCTGAAGTCTGCTAAGAAACTGACTCCTCTTCTGTGTCCTGCGCTGTGATCACTGGTTCTTCCTGCCAGCCTCTAAGTCACCACAGAACACAGTAGTAATGTAGGGGTCAAGGGGCAGAACAAGAGACACAGGATATCGACCCTCCCGGAAGTGTCAGACTTCAGCTGGTGATCCTTCTTGGGTAGCACCCGGCAGTGCAGGCAACAACTGAGGGAAGTATTTACAAATGGATTTTAAACAAGCAGCAACTTTATTTGCATTTCATTGCTGACAGGATCACTTTTAGCTTAGGGTAACCTTCCTGCCCCTACACTGTGTCTGGACCGCAGTTCACGCCACTTCCCACTGTGCTGGTAAAGATATCGGATTTTAAACCTGAACAGAATTGGGAAGTTGCATCTTGTGTTTGGCTAGTTTTGTGATCTGCTGTAAATGTTCTCGGACTCTTAGACTGTATAAGGATTTCTAAATATACCTCTTTAACCTATTTTCATGTTTTAAGGTGGAGGACGACTATCTGTTTGAGAAAGGTGAAGCCAACTTCTGGGCTGAGAAACTTGTGTACATCAGGCTGCTGGCTAAACATCTGGGGGAGCTGATGGACAGAGCGCGTTGCAGCACACTGCCGGATCCAAAGCTTCTTCACATATCTCAAGCAGCTAATGAGCGATCAGAGAGCGTCCAAAGCCTTTTCAATGACTTCCCCCCAACGCCGCAGTTCCTGAAGACCTCCGAATATAACAAATTGCTGATTCATAAAGAGAGGACCTCTAGATGTATGGATATACTGAATGTAATGCAAACACGCAGAGGCTCATGAAAATGGTTGAAGCTAGAGGTGGACAAACACTGACTTTTAGGTCAAGCTGCCCTGTAGAGCATTCTGGCACTTGTAGTTCCATCACAGCTCGGATGCCACTGATTGATTGTCAAGTTTACATTATTAGGTTTTTAAAAATGTATCTTTTTTGCAACTTTTTACTTTTATTGCCTTTGATTTTATCATCATGAAATAAAATACAGCTTCTTAATTGTGGTGCCATAACTGATAACTACCCACCAGTGTCAGAACTGAAATGTTATGCTTGGGATGCACGCAAAGAGCAAAACCTTACTTGCTTGGTTCTTTAGGCCAGGCTGTAGTGCACCAGTCCACCCCCATCCCTCTTTATCCATGGTCTGGTGATCTTGGAACACGCTTGCTTCTGATGCTGGAATACTACTACAGTAAACCTAAAGACCTTGCTGGAGATTACTAAAATTTCATTTCAAGCTCTATGCAGAATTTTAGGATAGGGGGATGGGAATTCCAAGAAACCGTATTTACAAACTGAGCACTGTTGTTATAAGGAAGAGAAAATTG